GGTTAGACAGTACCCACGGCTGCTGAAGTTGCAGATCAAGTTGGCACGAACGTCATATGTTGTGACTCCCCAAGTATGTTGCGTTGTGAGACGGAAATATGGTCAATAAATGCTCCGCTTCGCACAGCTCATGAAAACCGGGGCATGTGCAATAAAGATTGTCCTTCTTGCTGTGTCTCTTTTGCTACAATAGGAGTTTTTAAAGTGCAACGCCGTACGAACAAGATGTAAACTATTGATGGCTGTGGCCAACACGAATTAGTCTTCATTACTCGCCTCGTACTAGCTTCCATCTACGAAGCAAATGAGCCTGTGGCTACTTCGAATGCTTTGTGGAACGTTACGAATAATTGCGTCACGTTACAAAAACGTAGCATTCCTTAAGCTAGTACGCCTTAAGGCTCACATGCTGGGATCGTTATAAATGCATCATCTACTGCGAGCCTGACACCTACCAAGAACTATCCCCGCCGTCGGAAGTCTCATAAGCCCGTTATGTTTTCCGACTACGTGCAGTATAATACTTGTAAATATTGTAGATATTTACCATGCTCTTGATCGATTAACGGTTTAACAACAAGAATGATCGTAAACTTCCGAGGAACGATAAAATCCCAAAGAGCAAAAACTCAACCTACTTTTGTACGCACTCCATCCGTTTATTCTTGTTGCTGTGTTTTGCACGCGTTTTCCTGGTTTCTTGTCCCTACATGCCCAAGCCTTCTCTTAACTCGACTAGCGCTCACGAACGAAGTTATCGAGGGGCGCAACAGTCAGGGAAAATGCAAACTCGAATGCTGAACCTTTTCATCTTGAGGCGGGTCATGTTGGCGCGCAGCGGGGGTGGCGGGAGGAGAGGCCATTCACAAGCGCAGCCTATAGCAGCTGCGGAGGTTGAGGTTTGGTCGGCCATATTTCTTGAGCAATCTGCTATTTGAACTCGCGCAAGCCCGACCCAAGTGCTCGCCAAAGTTCACCCTGCCCTGTAACCGATAAATAATCAATCACAAACAGCACAGCGGACTCCGATTTCCGACAAACTCCCATTTGACACGAACGTTCACTCCATCTTAGTCAGCGCAATTCTGCCCACGGAACTTTGATCCCTCCGTAATTTGCTCCATTGAACACTTCTTTTCTCCGCCTTCCAGCGCTATTCCTGTAGCGCCAAAATAGTCAACTACTCGCTTTTACTTACGATTTCATAGCGGACCAACTGTATATCATTCTTTCTTGTTTCAACCTCCCGGAAAGTACGGCCAAATTGGACTACGCTCCTCTTCTCTGTAGGTTACCGCGCGGATGTCCGCTGCCTACTCGCTTCATCCGTCCACCAATTTTGTAGCTTCTCGAATATAGTCTGCTGTGTCCGCCTTCATTTGCTTTATGGTATCCGCGCTCAATTACGCGCACCGTCTGCGACTAGTATTTACTAGTTCGAGAATACTACGTTTGGGATATTTAGACTACAAAATGATTTTCGGAAATCGTTTTGGATTTGCAAACAGAAGGTCCCAGAGCAACTCTCATTTTCTCATAATTAAGCTACTGAAAATCAATTGGCTTGCACTTCATTAAATTTTAAGTAGCAGATGGTTTGGCTACTTGGTAACAGACGGTAGTTGAGCTCAGTTTGAGCAGTCCTGCGGTTAAGTACAGCCATCTGCAAACCAGTGAGGGACTTGAGATGTGGTCATTCTGCAACCGTTTGGACTACATAACCAATGAGCAGTGTGTAAACCTACGGGGTTTATGGTACCTGTTTGTCTTAATGGGAATCTTCATGGATTCTAATATATCGCGCATACGCACCAAGTGAAATATAAGTTGGTCCAAATGGCTTATCAGGGAACAGTAACAATATTAGCCGCTCCGAGGTGGTTGCTGGACAGAGACCACTAAGCCACCCACAGTTTGGCACTGTCAGCAAACAAGAGCAATCAAACGCCTTACATTGTCATGCGCCATAGGGATGTTGTTACAGTACAGGAGTGACCTTGGCTGATCATTCAAACCAGGTGATTGTGAAACACGGAACAGAATGGCAGCTTCGTGAAAGCCCTTATGTTACCGTTTGGTCACCAAACAAAACAAATACTCCTTTTACTACAAAATTAGCTTTTATTTAAGTGAGTGAAGAGAACGCGCCAATTATGGACGTCATCGCACACCCAGCATTTTCAAAATGGTTATTTGGAATTGGTAACCTAGTGATTTTCTCTGGTTGATCGCGTGCTGTCTTTTGAAGTATCAGAAAATTATAGGTATATGATGTACCTAGGGGAGTAAGCGGGTTGCTTGAACTGCAAAATATGAAAAGTTGACAGAACTTCCTCATCTTTACGCGACCCGTTTTCCTTCTTTGCTCTGGAAAGCATACTTCACGGATAAATCAAATTTATGCATTGAATAATTGCAAACTGAGTTTAAGATAATTATTTTCTCCCTTCCTTTTCCGCTTACTCAGCCATACCTATCATACAGCCATACCAAGCTAATTTGAACTAAGAAGGAAACGCTGACTGAACCTATGTCTCATCATTCACATTTACCATCCGATCTTCTCTTACTCATCTATGCTTCCCTAGTTTCCCACAAGTTAACATGTCGGCAGCAAGGTGAAGCTAACCGATTTTGTTTTTAAAATAGTTATCCCTGTTTTAATACCTATCTTTCCTCTTCTTAGCTCGTTTACGCCTTACGTACAGTCAAAGCAAAACTCCTAAGCCAGTAGATAAATGCCAACCACCCTCGCCTCACACAAGAGAAACAAATATCCCATTCTCTCTGTCACGGCTCGTATGCACAGCTGCTGAACAAAAATTTAATTACTACCACAATCTTAACCCTATTTTAGTACTGCATAATATAAGGGAAATGTTTAGTCTTACGCAGATGCTATGTGCAGTAAATATAATTTCAGCATGTGTCTTTCAATTATCACCACACAATCGTTCCTTATCCCAAGGAAAAGAATACTGGGTTCTGCCCGTACAGGTAAATATTTGTCAGGAAACCACGAACTATTCTTCGTCCATTCAAGGATGATAACACATGATATTTTTCTACCTGTAAATATTCTACAAATATTTGGAAAAATATGATCATGCAGAAAACTGGGTACCGCATAAACCCGCGAATATAAATATTGCTATTATTATTCTTATTAACATCTAAATGTTGTTCACGTGTGCTTGAGTTAGTACACGCACCTACCTTTTTCCACAGACTTGATCAGTTTATCTCAGTTATTTACGCATTCCGCGCGCATTTAAATCCCTCAAAGTCTTCATATTTTTGCCTTATATGTAGATTCTGCTAGAATGAAGTGGTTCAATAAAGCGGCGGATATTTCAATTCCTGTTTTATCCTATTCAATTACATTCGATCGTTTATTCATGCATCCGATATATAGTTCAAGACTTGGCAGGATGATGCAAACCAACTGAGCACCAGTGTCCGATGAGCGCCCGTTGGAAGTCCGATGGGCGCCCGAGTGGCAAAAAATTGTGTCACTCACCGGGCGCTCGCCGAGAAAAATTATGCGGTTCCTCCTTCAAATGTCCTATTTTGCCCAGCATTTGCTCTTTAGGAATAATCTAGCCCCCTTACGTTCTCTGCCAACACCTATGATTGCTCGTTATTACAATTCCACAAATCTGGGGACCCTACCAGCACGAAACCCCGCCGGCAGGCCGCTCAGATTCCAAAATATGTGCCAACAGTAGGTTTCGGACTGGCGGAGAAATCTTCAGCACCACTCCCCCTTTACACTCCTTTGTGCATTCCTCAACGCATGGCATTAGATTACCTATGACCTTGGTCTCAACATAGCCATTAACACAACTGGTGCATGCGATTCAGTCAAATTCGTCATGAAGAGTGTGCAAAGTGCTTACAATCTTAATAATGTGCACTGGAACGTAGCGAAAAGAGGAAAATGGCGAAACCATCACGACCCACCACACAATCACGAGATCCATCCAGTGATGTCCGTTAATCCAAACGTGACCCTGCCAAGATTCGCACCCCGGACACCTACACCACGAGACGAGCGACCTACCACTATACTGCTCATATTCCTATCAGCAGGACAGTCTGCTTTTGTCACATACCCAAGCAAACCTTCTTTTACATGTAGAAACTAACGTCGGAATCTACGATCACTGTTGACTTGGCAGGGCCACCGTTGAATCCATGGCTGCTTTTCGCTGTATGGCAGCTGTGCCTTTCGCTAAGCGGGCATTACGTGCTCAACGATAACATTGCGTGGGAAGAGTCTGCTGGTGGTGCGACGTTTCAGCTACTGGGAGTACAATCCTGTACCCTTATCTCACTTTTATGGGCGATACCTATAGGTGTGGCATAACCGAAATGTGCAGCGTACATATAGCAGCAGTTATGCGTAATGTGGGTGTGAATACTACATTCACGAAGTGAACATCTCTACTATCTCTTGATGAGTAGTTTGTTTATTATAAGAAGTTTTTCGAAGGACCATCGATGTTTTCATTCGCCGTTGGACAGTTGATATGGCTATAAGCCGATTTCATATGCCATGTTTTACGAACGCCCGATGAGTGTCCGGTATCAGACGCCCGAGTGACCGATGGGACTGACAGGGAAACGCATGCTCGCAAACAGGAATGCGTACACGTCCTTGTAGTGGCTTCTTCAGTAGTTATACATCAACGGATGTAATTCATTAATCTCTTCCTAACCTACTAAGCAAAAGTACAAGGTGAACTGGGACTGGATATTCTCAGATTACTAGTATGGTTTGAAGTTACGAATAACTTTCTTTTAGTCTGATTATTTAACCTTAGTATAGCAAGATAACTTTCGGTAGATTCAGCTGGAAGGTGCTAAAAGGACCGCTAGTGACCCTATTTTGAGCTGATAAATAACAGAAGATTTATTAAAAGTGAGAAGTACATGTGTTGTGCTAATTTTATTCTATCGTAAAAATAAGAGTAAATTTTATTTAAGGCGATTCCAATGCATCTGCACTAATAGCGTCACCTAAAATGCAAAAGAATAAATAACATAAGAATACGTATGTCTGACCCAGCAACGATTCAGCTGTTTGGGGAAAATTACACACACACCAGCCAATCTTTAGTACGCAAGTATGAGCTTACTACTTTTATCGGTGCATCCAGTGGCCATTATAATCACAAGCGCGGTCATTTAATTCGACGACGAACATCAGTGAATTTTCCAGAGGACCAAATTTACTTGAGATTTTTTGCAGTACAACCAGTCTATAGTTCACGATTCGCTTTCGTTTTCTTCCTTGCTTCACATCACCCCCTATTCGGTAACATTTCATGACGGAGAACTTTCCATCGACGAATTTGCCTTATTTTCGAAGCTGAGTATTTATACAAAAAACACATGAGAAGTGCAGTTAGAGTGTAAAAATTACCTTCACGCGTGTGCTGTTTACGGAAATGCTGCCAGCCCCTGAATATAACGTGGATTTTTATCCTTGTCCTCTACAGGACTTTAATATGGATTTTACTTGTCAACACACGGACAAGCGTTACTTTAATAAGACAACTCTACAAACGTCAATCACTGATATTTCCAGTGAACTTACGGTTTGGCAAACGTTTGTCCATGTCGGCCCAGTTAGTATATATCCTATCAAGGGTGCACGTCATTAAGAGGTCACTTTATAACAGCTGTGAATTTAATCAGAATCAATAGTCACCGCAATAAAAGGACCACTCACTGGGGTTGACACTTTTAAAATTAATCCATGTAACATATTTTCCTTGTGGTGCCTAATCCATTGTTGCCAAATGATCAGACTTGTCCGACATAATTAAAAGCTAATCCGGATTTGGAATAAGGTTATCTTGCTGAATACCTCTGATGCTTGCTACATCGACTTAAGTAGTTTAGTGAAAGTTTGATCCAAAATCTGCCCGCATGAAACACAAGTTCACAATTTCTTACCGTGAGGTTTATCATTCCGTCACTTATGCCATGTTCGTAGTTGAGACATATAATTGCCGTTTGCTGAACATTATATAAGTGACACTGTGATGTTGAGGCACACAAAATAGCCTAAAACAATGCACTAGAAGTGATTTTTATTAGCAATTCATCAACGGGATTTCGAATGAAAATAATTATAAATATTTGAAACATGTCGTTGACCGGCAAGTTGTTTCTTGGTGGCTGGGCTGGGTAAATGTTATTTCGCCATTTCAATCAGAGGTAATTAGTCAAGTAAACGAAAGCAGCAGTCATTTTCAACACTTATATATATTCTTTCGGATAGCTATTAAAATGATTGTAGTTGCTTGTGCATTAACTTAAATTATCAGATATGAATATGTATATATATATATATATATATATATATATATAAATTTATAGTGATGAAATATTAAATAAAGGGGGTACGCAACAACCCCGGCTGCTACTTTACCGTTATTACAAATCACTCATTAGTATTTGAGTTGGAAGGTTTCGATGACAGAAACACTGTTACGCGGTTATAAAGTGCTAATACATGAGTGCATGCACCAAGTCAAAGATGTACAGCAAGAGCTCTTGTTCCCGAAATCAGGATGAAACTAAAAGCGCTTTATTATGCATCTGACTTACCACCGGTGTTGTTGCTTTTTCCGGTGGCTGCAGAACGTCGATGAAACGCAAAGTTAGTGATAGAAAATTCAGCTTGCATTTTAGCTTAAAATTGTAGTATGTGTATGCACCAATCTAGGCTCAATTTGTGTGTTCATAATTCTAGTCAGCAATGATATATTTAAGATACGACCAACATAAATATATTTGGCTGGACACATAGAAGGTGTAAGCGCTGAGACTCATTTAAAATGAAGTACATCTCACCAAGGCTAGGACGCTCGCTTTCTAGGATTACTGTAGTGTAGCAATTATTTTCCTCGACATTGAGTAAACGGTTGATTTGCCATTCCTTTGCAAATGTCGTTAACTTGTGGTATTCAACGGGGAATTTCGTCTCATCCATTGTAAGTTGTAGGGGATACCACGGAGCAACCTCCTGCGCTCTGACGGGTGAAGAATTGCAGTCCACAAAAAGTCCAGAAATCCAATTACGCCAACCGCGTGTTTTCAACTAAATAACGATAGATGCTTTTGGTGAAGACAACGAATTAAAAGTCACATTCATTCATTCATTATACACATCAGCTAGAGGTGGGAAAAACACATCCGCTATTGTGCCGCAAGTCGTGGGGGCAAGTCACGCAATGCGCTAAACACTAAATGCTAGTTGCCATCACTTAGTAATATAAATTCTGTCGTCTGTACTTTATACATAATGCAGCCCAAGTGCCTGAGATCTGAAAACGGTCGAAAGTTTACAGTACCAATTAACCAGTGGTTTGATATAGTTAAGACGAGATTTTGGTTAAATACTTTGACCATTGCTTTCAAAGATGAGTGGAATAACAACAGACTACTGCCATACAATATATTTACCTGTCGGTGTGTGTGGCATGCTATCAAAAAGTGATGACGGTGTAGACTGAAAAGCTAGCTAGCTTAATTACTGATTTATCTCTATCAACTTTGATAATTCCTATCTGAGCTCTAGTAGTTAAGGAGTGCATCTTCTTGCATTGGATTCGCTGAATACCATACCAAACGTTGCTTCTGATTCGCATGTAATTTTCAAAGCTATGGAACTTACTAGGAGACAAGAATCGTTCGAGTGCAGCACCGTTACGTCTCCGTTCTCCCTTTTTAATGCAAGGGCCGACAACTGGACAGTCAATTTAACTGCAAATAAAACGTATGAAGCTAATAATGGATAATAAAGTTAGGCCTGTAGCGCTACACTTTTATTTTACTTTGAACATGCATAATCTGTCCATAGCATCTTAATACATAGAACAGCAAAAAATGTTCCCGCTAGATTGTGTCATGCATGCTCACCGATTGCGTATGACTGATCAAACAGTGCAAGCAAATTGAAAGATACAAACCAAATGTACATCATTTCGCCCAGTGGATGTTCTTCTACCTGCGATTGCCATTTTGCTTAAATAGCTCTCATTTTCCTAGAGAGCGGAACTTGGAATCTTGTTTATCGAGACAGGGTGTCGTGTGTTTCACTGGTCACTAGTGATACGAGATGAAATAAAATCGATTTCGTTCAAGAAGGAATGTGAACGGAAAATACAGCCCCACAAAACTATTTTTCGCTCTGTATTTGCTCACTGTAGGGGCAACATTGATCGAATACTAAATCAGACCACTACAGAGTTTGCGGATTGGAAAATTTTTGTAAATTTTGTAACCCAAATCGGTAATGTCACTTTTAACTCCCAAGTACATTGGGTAGACGTAATGCTGTGCAATGAACACCTGGCATGATGTGTATCCAAGGTAATAAACCCCTACTGAAACATCTTTTGTTGGTACGCAGAACTCATTACTCATTTTATTCTGGTGCTTTAGGTTTGCGTGACCAAATAGAAGTGTACTTAGCTGGACATTGTTTTAACGGAGTCCTGTGATGTAAATCTTGCAAATGTTCTCGAACCGAAAGTTGCCTGGTTAAAGTGTAAATATTTTCTCAATTCTAAGAAGATATCGCCACCTAGATAGTCAGTTGACAAGGTAAAACACCATGCAATTATGCGCAACAAAAATGCATCGCATCAGTTAGCCAGAGCTGATTTCTATAAAGTGTAATCTTTAGACAGTGTAAGATTACTTAAAATAGCTCCTTTGCTTGGTATATTATTTGGCATAATTAGGTTTGTGATTTTGCATTAAGGAAGCTGAGCGCTTGGTCTCTTGTAGATAAATACCATAATTCTAACATTGTGATGTTAACAACTGATGCAAGCAGTAGTGCAAATGTGTGAAACCAGGCATCATATTTCGGTCTGCTATACATGTTACGAAATCAGATTTGTCAGCATTGTTAAACAGGATGTGCTAATTGATAGCAATACCCATCAAATCATCACAGTTTTTCTACAAGGATACAGAAAGAATTTGTAAAACAAGGGTCATCCTTTAATCGCTTGACCAGAAGTGCTTCAATGACCCTTTTTTATTTATCATTGTTTATTCCACTGAAACCCAATATACATTTTAATAAATGGCCTCTGTCAACTATCGAGAAAAGCGCAACGCTACTCAAGTTGATTATTTATCCACTACCCCACCGAGTCAGGAAAATTATGATGACCTTAATATCTCGGAAGTTTGTGGAAAACTGGCAACTTTCCCAAGGCACAACAATTTGAAAATAAAGCAATTTAAATTTGCGCTATGTAAGCATTTAGCATTCTTGTTCGATGCAAACTTAATCGTCCCTCTGAGAGAGAGCATAGGATGACAAATGTGTATGCACAACCGCCATTAGTGATAACAAAGAGGAAATATACAATTATGTTCTGCAATTCTAAAGCATAATAATTGAGGTATCGCGACGCACGCAAAGGATTTATGTTACCGCTCTTCGATAGCATTGTCATTCAAGTAGAAATATATGCCCCTGGAAATCAGCTCTGCGCCCTAAAACCTTCTCACTGTAGTCTAACGTCAAGGATTTTACAAAATCTCAGCTAGGGGTTTAGTTACAGGGACATTGAAACTTAACCTAATCTCCCTATCAAGTCATGCACGCATTTTTTGGATTTACTTCCTGGCGTAAAACAAATATTGAGCTATTTTTGTGACGGTCCACGAATGTTGATTCTTTTCCTTGGCCGTACTATTTTCGTGCAAAATGGACGATACTCCAGAATTTTCGCCACCAGTTATAACCCAGATTGACGGAAGACAATACGTTCCAACATAACCCGTGTTAGTGAGTGATGAAATTCGCTTTTAGAACCAGTTGGTCGGGAACAAACGGTTCAGAGGTTTGAGCATCAGATATTCCTCTTCGAATGACAGTAAAATATCGTTCCATTGTTTACATTTAATTGTGCTTGTCCGGGTTCCTTATATTTTATCTTTTCTTGAGCATTTGGACCAAGATATCTCAAAAATTTTCCACTTCTAACCAAGTGGGTTTGCTACATTTTATCGTATTTTAAGTTACTCCAAAGAAACTATTATTGTGACCGTTATTGTGACAAAAAAATAACAAAAACGGCTGATGAAGCCAAAGTGGTTGGAATAGTGGAATCACGACAAACAGAAACTCAAAAGTATTGATCAATAAAATCCGTTAACAACACATGTGACAAAGCACGTGTTAGTTGATCGGTGGGATGCCAAGTGCATCATCCGACCACTGTAGACGCCTGGAGTGGCAAAAATTAGCGAGCTGACTAACGTCAGGGTAGAAGAAGCCCTTGCAGTAAGGCCTTCTGCTTACATAATTCCGGTTGCAATATTCTAATCGCAATCGCTTCGGCCGTCCGTAAGATTTGCTTTTTAAGCCCTTTAGTGTACCGTGGTTTTACTACATAAAGTAATTGGAAGGCATCAGCGGTCCTAATTCGGTGTCCGCTTTCCACCAGATGTTCCAGGATGGAACTGTTGGGGCGACTGACGATGCCTTTCCTCAAAGCCGCTGGGCAGTGCTCCGCAATGCGTTTAGACAGACGCCTGGTTGTGTCCCACGTACCTCGCACCACAGGCGCAGGTAAACTGATATAAAATGTAAGATTTGGACTGAACCGGAAGTCTATCTTTAATGCGTTGGGTTATAAAGAGGGCCGTTTCCGCAAGGACGTGTGGGCATGCGGCTGGGAAGGTTCTAGCCACTGCAGTGGAAATCCTTCTGGTCAACAGGTCAAAGGCAACATCGCCTTTAAAGGGAACTGACAGAAACACGTCCTTCTTAGGGACAGTAGTAATCACTTTAGGGCTATCACAGATCACTGCATACTTTTTGATGAATGGGGTCGGATAACCGTTATCTTGCAGCGTTTTGAGAATACGGATCTTTTCGGCCTCCAGCGTCTCTTGGCTGCAAATTTTCGTAGCACGAAAATACAAGCAGCGGACGAGATTACGTTTGTACCTCAAGGGTACAAAGATCAGATAATGTGTATATTGGCCTACCCAAGTGGCCTTCCGGAATACACTTCTTTCCAATGAACCATCATTTCTTCGGCTTAGCAACACGTCCAAGAAGGATAGCTTACCATCTCTTTCGGTTTCGATGGTAAACTTCAACGATGGATGAACACGGTTTAACTGGTTTAACTGGTTGGAAACATTGGTGTTTGAATCGCAGATTATAAACGTATCATCCATATAACGACAATGGAAATTAAACGAAGCGATGATGGGTCGTATAGCTTCACGCTCAATCCTAGCGAGGAAAATATCAGCAAGGAGTGGTCCTAGGGGGGACGCCATCGCGACACCGTCAATCTGTCTGTAGTAGACTCCATTAAATAAAAATTGTCTGTTGAAGGTACACCGTAAAATAAATTCCTTCAGTTTCCTCACCGAAATACCCACATCTATGTTCTTTTCATTCATGTAATCACACATAAAATTGACAGTTTCCATCAATGAAACATTCGTAAAAAGTGACTCAACATCCAGAGAGAGCATCAATTTGTCATTTACTTTCATGCATTCTACTCGTTTCACAAATTCAAATGTGTCTTTCACGGTGTATGTGCATAACTCCTTGCGTACTGGTTCTAGCAAACCCGCAAGCCATTTCGCAACCGAGTGAGTAGCTGAGGTTGACAGGTCGATTATCGGACGCAGAGAGACTTGTGGTTTATGTACTTTAGGTAGTCCATAAAGACGTGGAGGATGGGAACCCACTGGCGTTAGCTGTTCTAGTAGCACGCTATCTATTTCGTTCATACGCTTCAGCTCCTTCAACACTTGAGTGATTTTAACCTCATCCTGCGCGGTTTTATCCTTCTGTACCGTTTCACAAAAGAACTTACTCTTATCTTGCAAAATGGATTGCAAGGAATTATGATCAAATCCTGACTTAATTATCTCTAGACCCGACAAAGCCTCCGGATGGGTACTGATGGATAGATCCGACTACCTTTCGAAAATGCAATCCATTTTGCAAGATAAGAGTAAGTTCTTTTGTGAAACGGTACAGAAGGATAAAACCGCGCAGGATGAGGTTAAAATCACTCAAGTGTTGAAGGAGCTGAAGCGTATGAACAAAATAGATAGCGTGCTACTAGAACAGCTAACGCCAGTGGGTTCCCATCCTCCACGTCTTTATGGACTACCTAAAGTACATAAACCACAAGTCTCTCTGCGTCCGATAATCGACCTGTCAACCTCAGCTACTCACTCGGTTGCGAAATGGCTTGCGGGTTTGCTAGAACCAGTACGCAAGGAGTTATGCACATACACCGTGAAAGACACATTTGAATTTGTGAAACGAGTAGAATGCATGAAAGTAAATGACAAATTGATGCTCTCTCTGGATGTTGAGTCACTTTTTACGAATGTTTCATTGATGGAAACTGTCAATTTTATGTGTGATTACATGAATGAAAAGAACATAGATGTGGGTATTTCGGTGAGGAAACTGAAGGAATTTATTTTACGGTGTACCTTCAACAGACAATTTTTATTTAATGGAGTCTACTACAGACAGATTGACGGTGTCGCGATGGCGTCCCCCCTAGGACCACTCCTTGCTGATATTTTCCTCGCTAGGATTGAGCGTGAAGCTATACGACCCATCATCGCTTCGTTTAATTTCCATTGTCGTTATATGGATGATACGTTTATAATCTGCGATTCAAACACCAATGTTTCCAACCAGTTAAACCAGTTAAACCGTGTTCATCCATCGTTGAAGTTTACCATCGAAACCGAAAGAGATGGTAAGCTATCCTTCTTGGACGTGTTGCTAAGCCGAAGAAATGATGGTTCATTGGAAAGAAGTGTATTCCGGAAGGCCACTTGGGTAGGCCAATATACACATTATCTGATCTTTGTACCCTTGAGGTACAAACGTAATCTCGTCCGCTGCTTGTATTTTCGTGCTACGAAAATTTGCAGCCAAGAGACGCTGGAGGCCGAAAAGATCCGTATTCTCAAAACGCTGCAAGATAACGGTTA